ACCTTTGGAGCCCACTGTGCCCAATCCCAAGATAACAATACTGCCAGGCGTGGTAGCGCATGCCTGTAATCCCAGCACTCGGAAGGCTGAGGCAGGAGGATCATTGTGAGTTCGAGACCAGCCTGGGCTACCAAGTAAGCTCAAGGCCAGCCTGAACTGCATAGTGAGACTCTGTCTCAAAAAAAGACCAAAAAAAACAAGATAACAATATTTGCAAAACTTCTGTTTGTGCAAAATTTTGCCCAGCTCACTCCTGGCCCAACCCACCTGAAACAGGTATAAAAACCCCTGCTTCCCCAAAATTCAAGGCTCAGAATTTGGAGTACTTAACTCCTCTGGGCCAGCCTGCTTAATAAAGCTTTGTTCCCTCCATTTGTCTGGAGTGCCACTCATGTTTTCCTGCGCCACCAGTAATTCTAAAATTCTACATTTGGCTCCCTGGTTGGGAAACCAACATACTGGCCCCTTGAGCCATGGGCTCGGAGTTGGGAAGCGGTCACAGGGAGCTGTTTCCAGGGAATAAGGTGACATTCCCCTGTCCTCATTCAGCAGGACCTCCTTCGTTAGAGGACGACGACTGAGGGCTGCACCCTCTTTTCCAGACCGGACTCAGAGAAGTGGACTGGCCCTCCGACAGGACTGCAGGACAAGGTAAGGCCCCAGGGCCCGCTCCCAGTCAGGCCTGTCCCACAGGATAGAAGGGGAGCGTGTTCACCTTCCCAAGGTCTCAGGCCAGAGACCTCAACCAGGGATTTTTGGGTGGGGGTGGGGGTGTTTAAACAATGTGTGAATGACTGAACTAGTTCATGGCTTGTCAGGATTACTCCATGTTGTGTATGGAGCCTAACTGGGCCCCAACCTGCGTTTTTGTGGTGACATTACACAGCATAAGGTGGTTCACCTGCCATAATAGGAGGCTGACCAGGGTTTATATGGGTGTACCTTAGCCATGACGCCCCTAAACTCCTGCAAGGGGCACAGCCAGGCAGCCACTTGGTGGTTCCTTTGGCAGACTTCCTTCCCTTGCCTGTTGCATCTCCCTTCAAGGGCACCAGATGCACCATGGGCAGAATACCCAGTAAGGCCACTGCCTTAGGCTGCATGGTCAAAATTATAAGAAGGGGTTTAGTGGGGAATATGAGATAAAGCTAAAGCTCACAAGGTTGTGGACCCCCTGTAAAGTAGATTGGCCCAAATTCAATGTACGATGCCCCCAAAGGAACCCTAGCCATCCAGACAGTGCATGCGATATGGAGAGCTGTCACTGTGAAGCCAGGCCACTCCAACCAGTTCCCTTATATTGACTCCTGGCTAGAGGTTGCTCAGACCCTCCCCCACCATAGCTCTGATTCTATGTGAACAGGAAGGGACAGAGTTAGGTTTTTGTGGATCTGGATCCAGACTGAAGACCCCAAAGGGAGAAAATCATTCATAAAGGTGACCCAGAAGACCTCCAGCGTCTACCCTATGCCTTGACACCCCCTCCAGTGCCTCCCGTGCCAGCCTTGCCTAACAGTGTACCACCATCCAACCCTCCACCACCAACGTCTCCCATTAGTCTGCTCCTTAATCCCCCAGCAGCCCTGTCAGTGACCTGTCCACTCCTGTACTCATTTATTCTTTGTATAGGCTGTTTCACCAGTATGTCCTGTTTGCTTTACAAGGTAATCCACTCTCGCCCTAGTCAACAATGGCTGATGCCAGAAACCTGAGGCTGCTGTCCCTTGTTGTTGCCATTGACATAGGGCAACCAGACCCCTGGCCTCTGATGTTAAGCTTTTGTCTCAGGCCATGCTGTGCATCTCCTGTGAAAGCTCTCCAGGAGTCCCCCTGGAACACCTACCCCTTCTAGTTATAACTTCCCGCTTCCTCTACACATGCCTCAAGGTCACATGAGCTACAACACTTCTCCTGTACATGACACCCCCACACAGACACAACACTCGTCCAGCTGCTTATCATATGACAGGACATGCAACTGTAGACACCTCCCAGTTGAACAAACAGCAACATTTCTGCAGTGGCCGCCAGGTCCCACATATTACAGTTGGAATGTTTCCTCCACAGGCAGCATCAGGAACCATAGAAAAGATCCGACCAGATTGGGCATCTGCCCCAGGTACCTGCCTTTTCCTACCCAGCCTCCAGAATTCTAGTGAATGAATATTAATAGATACCAAGAGGTTCCTTTTATATTAGGAAAACAAGACCGGGGTGCCACCCAAAAGAGGCCTCCCTCTTTTACAGGGTCATCCCTAGCTATCGCTGTAGGCGTCTGGGAAAAAAGATCCCCAAAAGCCAGCCCCCAAACACCTAGACATACATAAGCATTCCTGTTTAACTGCTCTAGGGTTGTTTTGGCTCTGCACAACTTCTGCTTCCATCTCCCTTCCTACCAACTGGACGGGGACCTGCACCCTGATATTTCTCACCCCGAAAATGGGTATCAGGCCTGGAGAAACAGCTTGAAGTCCCTCTCCAGACCCCTGTCCGACACCATCGGGCCACCCCCACACTGTCGCCTCGCTACCTATCAGTCACTTTCTCAAGACGTAACAGCTTAGCAGAAATCTCCAGTTCTGTCCTAGAGTTACAAAAAGAAGTGAACTCCATAGCTGCAGTAACCCTGTAAAATCAGTGCACCTTAGACTTAATAACAGCAGAGAAACGAGGCACCCGTGTCTTGCTGGGGGAAGAATGTTTTTATGTTAGCCGATCTCAGGCTGCCCAAAATCTCTGAAATCAGGCTACCAGACTGAAATAGGCCCAAACAAGTAGCCTCTGGCCATTCTGGAGCAGTTGGAGAACACGGGTTATACCCTTGATTGGGCCACTAGGTTCCATCTTTCTCCTGTTGCTGTTTAGCCCTTGCCTATTGAGGTGCCGCACAGAGTTCCTCCCAGCCTGGGTTCGAGATGCCCTGTGGGGGAGGGGGGTGGCTACTGGTGATGCCCTGTGGGGGAGGGGGGATAATGCAGGAAATAGACCACCTCAAGACCCCGCTCCCCTCTCCTCTGCCCTAATATCCCGTCCTGGTTTTCTGTAACCACAACCAAGTGCTGCATCCTGAGCCCCTTCCAGTAGGTAATGTTATGTTCTTGTTCTGTTCTGCTTTATAACCACAAGAATTTACAGCTTCTGTACCCACCATGCGAGCCTCCCCAACCCAAGGTAATACCTACAAAACTTCTGCTTTTGTAAAGTTTTGCCCAGCTCACTCCTGGCCTGCCCAACTAAAACAGAGGTATAACTTCCCCAAAGTTCAGGGCTCAGAATTTGGAGTGCTTAACTCTTCTCCGGCAGCCAAGTCAATAAAGCTTGGTTCCCTCCACTTCTCTGGAGTGCTGCCTGTGTTTCCCATGCCCCAATAAATCTAAAATTGCGGGAACATAAATACAGAGATAGACACATTTTTCCCTAAGATTGGAAAAAAGTGGTTCCTGACTTGTGGGATCAGCTCCGTTAACAGTAGTTAACCTCTTTGGGAGGAAAAAAAGATTTTTTTCAAGGCCCTGTTTGTTGAGGTTGTGTGAACAGTGGGTTTGAGAAAATGCCTGCTCTGTGCTCTTGCCACTACAGATCTCACTATGAAGTTCAGGCTGGCCTTGAACTCACTGGGTACCCCTGGATGGTGTGGAGTTTGTAGTGATCCTCCTGCCTCAGCCTCCTGAGCATTGGGATTATGGGCATGTGTCACCACTCCCGACTCATAGTATTTTAAAATGGTCATACATGGTCCCTCGAGAACTACCAAATAACTTGTTAAACATCTTTGCAAAAGGCAGTCGTCGTCTATATCTCTGCAGCCTGCCCCTTTCTGCAGGAGAACTTTGTTGCCTGCCCTTTCAAGGGACACTAACTAACGTGGTCTGTCACTTTCTCTGATCACAAGGCCTTGTGCAGTGATGTTCATATGGTGAAATTTTCCTGCCATTATTTTTATGCTCTCCTTTTGGAGTACTTCACTCCCTGCTCCGTCATCACCGTCGGTTCTTGTCACACCAGTTCCTGTGGCACCGTTTCCTAGTGTCTGCTGTGTTTACCTACACGTGGACTAAATCTGTCCTCCAGTTTCCCCTGTACTGTTTCTCTTAGAATCCTACTACAGGTTTTTATTACTTTACAAAACTTAGACTCTTTGAAGTTAGAATCTTCATACGTTTCCTTTTTTGAATCAAAATCTCACTGCATAGTTCAGGCTGACCTTGAGCTCACTCTGCACCCGAGGCTGGTGGAGACCTCATAGTGATCCTCCTGCCTCAGCCCCCCAAGTGCTGGGATTATAGATGTGTGCCACGACACCCAGCCATCTGTTTCTTGTTCATTTCTACAATCTTTAGACCAGTGCACATGGTGTATCATAGTTGAGAGAAGGAATAAATTAGGAAGCTTCAGTCCAGAGGAAATTTCTAGTCTAGGGTTTGTGTGATAGTGGTTGTCAGAGAACTGATCTGAGGGCTTCTCCTATGCCTATGGTTGAGTTTCAGGAGGGTTTAGCTTTAGACCGAATGTATATCCACATGCAGTGAGTTCCTAGTGATGGGCTAAATTTCTACTTCTGCACTTTAAAGTCATAGGGCAGAGATGCTCTGGGAAGATTTTCCACACCAGCCAGAATAAACACTCTTACTCTTTGTATCTGAGAAAGAAAACATTAGGAACTCTGTCAGAAGCAAGAGCTAGACAGACTAAATCTGGCTGACTTAATTTTGTCATACTCCTGGGCAAGGAAGCCCTTCAGGAAAGACTGTCAATTCTGCTTGCTGAAGTTCACAGTGGTAGGAAGATACAGCCTCACCAGAGCCAGTGTTGTAGCCCTCACTGTGAGCAGGGTCATGCTGAGGTCCACGCTGACTCACTCCCTTGTTAATGTGAGAGCATTGCTGCTATTTTTACCTTTCAGAGTATAGTGAATTTGTTCTTAAATTGGAGCACTCGTATTACCAGAATAAACTAGTTAAAAAGAAAACCTTTGGGTGTTACGTTCATTAGTCATTCCCATTGTCCTTTGAGTTATAATTTGTAGTTCAGTCTGGTAAGTTGTAAATTTCTAAAAATTAGTCAAGGAAAGGTACCACACAGGAAGGGAACTTGGGATAGCTGAAATGCGAATTCCTAAAAACATAGTGTATCGCCATTCACCTTATTTACCAGATCTGGGACTATGCAACTTCTGGCTGCTCCTTATGGTCGTTACAGTCAAAATGACCTTGAAAACAACAGTGACCAGGAAAGGTAAATGTCTTGAATCAATTCATGGCATGCCAGCAGCGCCCATGGCAAGACAGTGCGGTGAGGTTGAGTGTTACAGTAACCACCTGCCTGCCTCCCATTCAAGTCTGCATTCCCATCTTCCCATGCTTGCCTTGTCAGCTATCTGTCCACATCTCCACCTTTGTATTCATTGTAATTTTTGCTGCGTGTTGGTAAGTGTTAGATGTTACTACACTTCCAACTAAATGCTTGGAGACACACCTTAATATTTTGCTCTCTTTCTGTTGCTGTGATGAGTCCTGTACATAACCAACTTATAAAGAGAGAGGGTTTATTTTGGCTCACAGTTTTGGAGATTTCAGTCCATATTGGCTGCACTGTTTTGGGACCTGTGACGAGGCAGCTCCTCACCTTAGGTTGAGAGAAAGAGGCTGGTCCCTCTCCCTCAGAAGGCCAGAGTGTGGTGACCTGAGACTTCGCGCACGGTGCCCCGCCTCTTCAGGTCTCTGCCGCTTCCCAGGAGTGCGAGGCTGGCCCCTATGAGGGACTTTGCAGATCCATACTCTTTGATTCCTTCCTTTATGACACCTCGCTGGGACACCTTCCAGTTAGTTTCTGTAATTTTACCTCTCAGATTTTGTATGAAAGCCTAGAGGAAAAAGTAAGAGGGAAATTTATGCACAGTATACCTCCCACCCCATATTTCCAGAGTGAGTTACCTTTGATAATTTATATTAGTTTTAGAGTGAAGTCTTTATTCAAGGTTCGCCATTACCACTTGAGTTTATCTAATTGTGTCCTTGTTTTCAAAAAGGCGCCTTCAGATCTTATGCTATATAAAACTGGTAAATTTGAATAGTGACTGGATGTTTGGTGATTTTTAAGGAATTAATGTTTGAAAATGATATTGAGATAGGTATTGTGGTAAATGATCTAAAGACAAATAAGTATTCACAGATGCTACAGTGTTTACAGAGTCTTTGGAATAATGCTGTCTGGGATTTGCGTCAGCAGGGATAGGATGGAAAAGGGACAAGGTATATGGGACGTCGGCCGTGTTGTTGAGCTCAGGTGATGGGGCTGTGGGGCTCATTACACTGGCCTTTCTACGTTTGAATACAGTGGAAGACTACCAACATGAGAAGTTGAAACTATATATGATAGTGAAGTGTTAGTAGATAGTTAAATTCAAGATTGTGATACATCTTAAATCTTTTTGGAGAAAATTATAACCTTAGTAAGTCAAAGGTTTTCCTTAAGAGTCTTCTCTATCCATGGTTTTATTTTCCACAATTTCAGTTACCCATGATTCCAAGATACTATGCTAAATGGAAAACTGTAGCAATCATTGAGGAGTTTTCAAATGCATGCCATTCCTAGGAGTGTGGTCAACACACCATCTCAAGCAGAGTAGTGGATCTGCACAGTATAAACTACCCACCCACCTATTGCTCTCTTACTGGCTGCCTCAGTCATCAAATTGACTATTGCAGTATTCACTGCTTGTATTCACGGAATCCTCAGTTTACCTAATAATGGCCCCAAAGTAGCAGAATCATTATGTTGAAGAGACACCAATGCATAAAACATGGAATAACGGACAGACTCTGGTACTGTGTGGCAACACTCTGCAGAAGAGGTAAAAACAGGCTGTGAGGGTTTGGCACTATCCAAGTGTTATGGCTTGTGTCCAGACGTGCCCCCAGAACCTCCTGCGGTCATAGACGGGCCTTTTCAGAAGCTGCTGGCTCTAGAGTGTGGTGCTGGGATCAAGGGTGCATGATTACTAAATTAGTCCACTGATCGGTTTAGCATAGTGCTGGGTGTGGGTGGTGCACCCAGAAGGTGAGCACCAAATGTGTATTACAAATTAAAGAAACCAAGGAACCTTATTCTATAAAGTACATGTGCAGACCTGAAAACCCGTAATTCCCCAAAAAATAAAAATAAAAAATAAGCTGAGTACTACTGGATTTATACCCTGTGAAAAAAAAATTTTTTGAGTTGTGAACATTGCAGTGATAATACTGAAAGTTAAGATTGCCAATAAGAAGTGTCGGGGCTGGGGATTTAGCTCAGCGGCAAAAGCGCCTGCCTGGCAAGCGCAAGGTCGTGAGTTCAGTTCCTGGTACCGGAGAAAAACCCAAAAAAAAAAAGAAGTGTCAAAAACACCAGGTGAAGTAACCAAGGCATTCAGGCAGTGGAGGTAAGAAGATCACAATGAGTTTGAGGCCATTCTGAACTATATAGGGGGAGATTCTGTCTTTAAAAAAAAAAAAAAAAAAACTAAACTAAAAAACTGAAGACTTCGGGAGCTGGGGATTTAGCTCAGCGGCACAGCGCCTGCCTGGCAAGCACAAGGTCATGAGTTCAATTCCCGGTACCAGAAAAAAGAAAAAAAAAAAAAAAACTGAAGACTTTTTAAAATGTGAATATATTATATTACTGTGCCGTGAAATCCTACTATAGTTAAATATTGAATATAAGCATTTCCTACTCTTACCCTATTGTCTTGCAAATGGTAAGTAAAGTGATAATTGTTAAGGTGACTTGTCTGGCAAAGCCTTTCTGACCGTCTCATTTTCATCTCCTCCCCAGCCTCACTGATAGCCACACACTACCTCGGTATCCTCGAGGGTCTCCAGCAAGAAGCTTGCTGTGTGCAGGACTAACGTGGAAGCACCATGGAGCAGTACACAGCTGGTAGCAATAGCTCCACAGAGCAGATTGTGGTGCAGGCCGGACAGATCCAGCAGCAGGTACGGGAGCAGAGTGGCGGTGGAGCCCGCACACACTCGGTGGTGGGGGAGTTACTCTGGGGAGTTGCCTGAGAGACCTCTGCGTGTGAACCCTGAGACAGGATCTGGTCACTCATGCCAAAGTCCTTTTCATGACCTTTTCAAATCTGCCCTTCGTGGGGACCTGGTTTAATAGTAAATTGCCTGTTTTGTCTCACTGAAGGTTAAAACACCAAGTCTGTTTCTCACATGGAAATTTGAAATTTTGTTTTTATTTTTCCAGGTTCAGTTTGATAGGTTCTGTACTTGTTGGGGCTACATGGTGATTTAGTGAGGGTTTGGTCACAGTAGACAGTGTCAGCTCTCCTGAAATCTGTTCTTTGATTTGGCCCATCACCATACTTATTTTGAACAGCTTGAGCTCAACACTAAGATAATATTTAGACAGCCTCTCTTAATGGATAAGCACAAATTAGGAAGCAATTCTTGCTCTTGGGTTATTCTTTTTTTTTTGTCTTTTTGGAGACAGGGTCTCACTCTGTAATTCAGGGAGGCCTTGAATTCATACTGCTCTCCTGCCTCAGCCTCCCAAGTGCTGGGATTACAGGTGTACGCTACCACACCCACAGTGTGTTTAGTGTTTAAAAATACAGAGCCGGGTGTGGTGGTGCATGCCTGTAATCCCAGCACTCAGGAGGCCGAGGCAGGAGGATCATTGTGAGTTCAAGGCCAGCCTGGGCTACAAAGTGAGTTCAAGACTAG